TGGAGTTTCTCTGTCACGGTCTGTGATGGGTATTGGAGTTTCTCTGTCACGGTCTGTGATGGGTATTGGGGTTTCTCTGTTACGGTCTGTGATGAGTCCGGAGGTTCTCTGTCACGGTCTGTGATGGGTACTGGGGTTTCTCTGTCACGGTCTGTGATGGGTCCGGAGGTTCTCTGTCACGGTCTGTGATGGGTACTGGGGTTTCTCTGTCACGGTCTGTGATAGGTCCGGAGGTTCTCTGTCACGGTCTGTGATGGATATTGACGTTTCTCTGTCACGATCTGTGATGAGTCCGGAGGTTCTCTGTCACGGTCTCTGATGGCTACTGGGGTTTCTCTGTCACGGTCTGTGATGGGTCCGGAGGTTCTCTGTCACGGTCTGTGATGAGTATGGAATTTCTCTGTCACGGTCTGTGGGGGTGAGGGGGGGGGGTGGGTCCAAATTTCTACCCCTAAACACTTCAACACTCCTTTCAGATCGTGTTTCACAAAAGCAGTTAGATATTTTATTTTACAATTCATTAATTTATCATTTGTAAATATATTTTTTGATGATGATTAAAACAAATTTTAGTTATTTAAAATAATTCTTCATATGAAGAAAATTTCTTTGATAGGATGTAAAACAAACAGGATGTTGAAATTCAAATGACAATTAAATTAAATTAAATTCCAAACTTAAAGAAATGGAAATTGATAGTGCTACCAAAATCGATAGAATTTTTAATTTAGATGAAATTCTGTCGTTTTAGTTCTGCTTAGTCATAGAATTCAATGGAAAAATCAACCGATTTGAATTGATAATCGAAATGATAAAATAAAGATTTCCAAAAGAAATGAATGTTTAACGTAAATTAAAATGAATGTTTGAGAAAGTTGAATGATTAATGTAATTGTTGAAATAATAACATTTAATGAAAATGTTCAAATATTTCATGAAAAAGAAATTTGATTTCCATTAAAATTAACAATAAAATCAAATTGGAAAATGTTTGATATTCAATTATCATTATAAACAAAAACAAATTCATCGAAAATCGATTTCGTAAATGTTCTTGTTATTATTTTTGTTTCAGAAAAAATGAAAAATATCGATCTTAAAATTCTTTTTCTCTTTATTAGTAGTATAGTGAAGAACTAACATGATCAAGAATCAATGTGTCATTGAGAAAAAAATTTCTTTATGTACATTTTATCATACGATATTATATTATCTAATATCGTAATATATAGATAAAAGAGAGTGTGATAGTTCTGTTAGGTAATGGGAAAGTATTGAAATATAATCAATGGATATTAGTAACACAATTCTTATGATAATGCATTATAATGCATTAAACAAAATTCATCAACAAACAAATAAATCAGTTCAAACTAATTATTTATTTTCGATTTCTAGATAACAAATAAAGAATGAAACGTCAGGAAGAAAACAATGTATATATGAAATTATATTTATAACAAGAGTACAATTTTCAGATGTTCAATAGGACATTTAGTGAAGAAATAATGTGAACAAAACTATGTTATATCTTCAGATGTAACATTATGATCTAGATCTGACTGATCGTCATCTTCATCATTATTTAATTCTTCACCATTCAATGCACCAAAGCGTTCATATATGCATGGTGTAGGGAAAAAATCCTTGATTATATCACCAAAATATTGAAATCCCACACCAATTGTTTCCGAATTGATGCCGGTCATTTTGCAATTCAAAAGATGCAACATAATCAATAACATTATTGTCGAATGTGGAAATGAAAAATTTCGTAATGCAAATTTGGCACGAGATATATATTGAAATGCTTGTTCAGCTGCTTGACTATTTAATCCAACAAATCGTCCTTCATGTGATGGATGATCGGATTTCATAATGGTTTGGCACATTGATCTTGAATGTGTT